GTATTCAAAAGCACTAAACTTGACAAAGGTTTCATTATTTAATATAGACTTTTCTATTTCTTTTTGTATTTCATTTTCTTGTAATTTATTAAAATCTTTAATAGGTAGTTGTTTCCATTATTTTATTATTTATATTTCATTTTTTATTATATTTTTAATTTTTAAATTATTTGTTTATATTTCTTTTTAAAATATTTTGCAATTAAATATGCTATTTCGATTTTTATTTTTGATAGAACTATTCTATTAAAAAATATTTTAATTATTATTTAAAAGCTCTTAAAGATGATTTTTTTGATATCTAAAATCCTGGTCGGAAAAAACGGTCACGATTTTATTATCATTATTATTTATAAACTCTAAATTCTCAGTTATTAATATTTTTTTTTTTAATTATTAATATCATAAGTATTATGAAAAATATTTTTAGGAAATATTGCATTTCGATTTTTATTTTTAACTAGCTGATCCCGTGCACTTCGTTGCCCATTAAAAATACCAACGCTATATGAATAATATGTTTTTTTTTATAATATAACGGTTACCATAACAACAATTTTAAACCAATTATTATTATAATTATAGCTTTGAAACCCGCGGCGACCATATATAAACAAAAATCTCAAAATCCCTGTTTGAGCACGTCCCGGTGTTGGTCCTCTCCCCTTTTAAATTAGCCTATCTTCTGCCCAGAGATCTAACATGTCTATATGTATAAAAATATTTGATCCCGTGCACTACGTTGCCCATTAAAATTGACAACTCTATATAAATAATATGTTTTACATAAAACAATATAAAAGGTTGCCATGGTAATGTGGACACACACTGACTATATATATAAAATATCTGATCCCATGCACTTCGTTGCCCATTAAAGACCTATAATTATGATTATAATAGCCACAACACTCATGGTAACCATGGTAACTATGGATAATGGTAACCTTAATAACCATGAAACCTTGGTAACCTTAGTAACCATGGCAACCTTGGTAACCATGGTAATGTGGACACACACACATACATTTATTTTTATGAAATATATTTGGAGATATTTAGGTTCCATATCTGGCAGGGGTAATAATGATCCAGCCCGATGATAGATTTGACCTTGCACCTTGAATGTTGGCATGTAATTATCCCTCACGACGTTCGTTGCCCCAAATGAAATCTTGGTAACCTTAGTAACCATGGCAACCTTGGTAACCATGGTAACATGGACACACAGACACACAGACACACTGACACACTGACATACATTCATTTTTATATATATAGATAGAACAATTCTATGAAGAAATATTTTGATTATTGCATTTCAGATTTTTGAAAAATAATTTAATAATTATTGCGTTTCACGAATATGCAAAATATTTTAGGAAATATTAAAATATACATTTCAATTCCTTTAACTCAGGTACCTATTCAATTTCTTTTTAATACATTTTTTGCATTTCGATTTTTATTTTTAATAGAACAATTCTATTAAAAAATATTTTTATTATTATTAAATTTCGATTTTTAATTATTAATAATATAAGTTTTGAAAAAAATATTTTTTTAATTATTGCATTTCAATTTTATGAGAAATTATTTTAATTATTATTACATTTCATTTTTCTGACCTTTTTGCACATTGTTTTATTTGTGATCCTTTACTGATATAAAATGAGGTGTGCCAGGAATGGTACATATATACTACTCATTTATATGCACTAAATATCTAAAATTATGCACTTATAAATGAATGCTTACTAAAAAAAATCATAAGCAATTTTTTAAATAACATGAATTATCCATTCCCTTTTTTATAGTTATATTTTATTTTTCTTAGTCACAATTAAAAAAAAATAGATTTTAAATACGTTTTTTTTTCGTCAAATGTTGATTCTTTCATAGGTAGTTTTTCCGGCTGTAATACGATTGAGAACGTTCGACCTTTTTTAGCGTACGATTGAGATCACTCGAAATGGAACAATGAAATAACCGCTGACCCAATAAAACAGTAATATTGAGAACGAAATTAAGTGCAACGTTGCCGAACTATATTCAAGTCAAAATAAAAATAAAATAAAACATTGAATAAAATAATTAAAAATTATAAATTTTAAAAATGTCATAATTTTTAAAAAAATCTGTATTATTGGTACCTACCAATAATACAAACATTTAAAAATAATTTACAATTTAATTCCCCTATATAAATTTCCCAGATGTGTTAAATATTTTATTAATCCTTCAGAAGATTTTTTTGAAATTTTTTCTTCATCTGCTTTTGAAGCCTTTTGAACAGTACCCTGTTGAATACTGAATAGTATTGAGTTTTAAAGACGTTTATTCCTGCCACATAAACAGTGTGTGAGCAGTGCTAAGAGTAATATATATATTTATATAGGCTATAGCCATAACCGATTTTTATATGGCAAAGTTTGGCAACGTTGCGTGAAAATATAAAAACTGAGCGTTCTCAATCGTAATAGTCAAAAGGGTCTAAAAAAGGTATCGCCAATAATGACTGTCTCAATCGTATTCCTGCCGTTTTTCCATAAAAAATGCCTTTTGATAAAATGAGCGACACCCACTTGCACACCTTTTTTTTTTTAATTTACTGACATAATTATAGGTATTTCTTAAATTATTTACTTATCATATCATTTTAACAATTTTTGTTAGGTCAGCTTTTAAATTTTCTTCTTCAACACTAAAAATTTTTTTTTTAATGTACCATAAGCAACTATACCCACCGTGTATACAACCAGTTCATGAATAGGAAATAGAGAAGTGCGTTCATTGATGGATACTTTTCTTATAATATATATTTAAGATAAAATATTTTCGTGTTAAATTGCGATTCTAATGAAATATTTTAGATTCTGAGTGAAACGATGAATGTATTGATTTTACAATGATGTGTGTTTTTTTTTTCTTTTTATATTTTGATTTTTATTTTTTATTTATTTCTTTTTATTTTTTTGTATCTGTCATCACGTTTTAGGACAGTAAAAGTGGTTGGATTTTCTTCAACAGTATCTTTTCTGATAGGAAAGTGAATCTAGTTGGTACTTTGGGAGCTTAAAAGTAAAATTTTTCCAGTGGTTATCAAACGCGTCATGAAAAACAAAAGAAAAAATAAGATAAAACGGGAATTTTTACACAAAATCTGTTTTAGAAAAATCGATTTGGTTTTTAGTGCAATTCTTAAACAAATGACAGTAGGTTCATGAAATTTTGACTGAATGTTTATATTTCCATTTTCTATACATGATAACATTTTTTAAATATTTTGAGATATTTTGAGCTCTTTACGGACATTTTCATTTTTTTTTTCTATAAATATCAATACAATTTTATTTGTTGGGTACAAAATCTTAAAAATTTAATAGAAGGCTAATAATATATTATTTCAAAGACATGAAAAATATAAAAAATTTTTAGTCACAGTTTTTTGTTATTAGCATTTAAAGTTCAAATATTGACCAAATACGTAAAAATAATGAAAATTTGTAAATTATTTACAGAAATCGTCACACCAAGAGACACTTTATAAGCACCATTTGTATTGTGAACAGCAACGAAACTATTACTGTCGTGCCTACCAATATTATTTTTATATTTTTTAATAATAAAATGAGCGTTTATATTTAAAAAGTACACACAACTAAATTGAACAGGTTTCGTCACCCAATTTATTTTTGGTTTAAGTGTTTAGCAGTGTTGTAAAAAATACTTTTAAAACAAAGTATTTAAAATACCACCCAAATACTATAAATAGTAGAGTATTTTAGTATTTTAAGTAATTTGTTTATTGCATTTTAAAAACATGATTCGTTCAATAATCAAAGTCCTGATTAGTCATGTTAGTTGCAAAACAACAATGAACTTTTCTCTACAGAGTAATTACCTAAATATTAATTTAAAGCTATATATTATTTATTTGGATATCTCATACCGTCATCGATTGTTGTCTGTTGCTTACTTGCTTACAAATATAAAAAAAAATGTTCAAAACGTACTACATTATTATATGGTATATAATTTGAATAATAATATTTTGTACTTGCAATGCTATGTAAAATTTTGGACACAAATATTTTAAATACAATAGAAAATAATTATAAATTATATATAAAAAATAAATTGAACATATAGTTATGTTTAAAGCTATAAACATAAACTGTATGTAACTGTATTCTCAGTATTTATTAAGACTATTGTATTAGCCATTAAGTACATATTTATTATAACTTTTAACAGATTGAAAATAATAATTACTGTATGAACTTATCATTAACAGCTAGCGTCTGAACTTAAATTGTACAAATTTATAGCATTAATTTTGTTGATACTATTACAATTATCTGAATACAACATATTTAAGCTTGTATACAACTAACAAATTTAGTAGTATTATTTAAAAAAAACACGTAAGATACATATATGAGTATTGAATAAATAAAAAAGTATTAATATATTATGTACAATATTTGTATAATATATAATAATTAGTGTTTAAAATTATAATTTAAGTACTAAGATTCACTGTTTGCTGATTTTAAATAAATTATGTTTAGTGCATTACAAAATTAAATATTCATAATTTAATATGGAATAATAAAGAATTTATTCAGTGTTAGCTTATTCTAAAATATGAAAAGATTAGGTGTGAAATAATTTATACCTATATCCAATTAAAATTAATTTAGATAATTTAGCATGTTTTTTAAACATTGAATTATATTTTTCTGAACTTTATATTTAAGTTTAAACTCTTTTTCTGAATCATAGATAATAAGATGACAAATAGAAGGTATAAATTATTTACAAACACCAATACATTACATTTTAAACTGGTTCATTAATATAAACTGTAGAATTAGTTATAAGTTTTATATAACACAAAATATATAAGGATTGAACATGTCTTACAGCCCTTACACCTCATCTCATTTCCACATATATCGATATATTACCCTATGTGAACTTGTTTATTAGTCTTTTCAGTATATTACCTTCGTACTAGGACTATTTGCTTTAAAATTTTCAATTTCTGCTGAAGTGCAACCTGATCCTTTAATGTCTAATAATTTCAGGTATGGACAATGTATGGCAGAAGATTTTAAAAACTGATCGGAGACTTTTGGATATTTGCGGACATATAAGGTTTCAATACTGCAACTATAAACATTATCATTCATATTTAAAAATAAATGTAGCATGTAACATAATAAACCTAATACTCATTCAACAGTAGGTAACATAATTCTTCATTGTATTAAAAATTATTATTAATTGAAGTTACCTTTGATCAAGTCGATAGCCCAACACATTTGGCAAGTATGGATAGCGGAAAGCAGAATAAGCAGAACACAATTTTTCCAAACCGAAATCAGTAATTGTTTCATAGATCTTGTAGTTTATATTCTCGGGGCTTTCCAAAAAAACATTTTTCAAAGTCGCTAATCCTTTAAAGCAAGCAAGTTCCCTATCACTTACTGGAGTAAAACGCAAATCAAGTGTCTAAAAATAATATAAACAATAAGGTAAGATATATTTATCGGTAAACTAAATAACAGGTAAAGAAATGTACAGTATTGTTTTATTAAACACAATAATATATTATAGTAAACTAGTGGCGGCTCGTCAGCGGTGGCAAGTGAGACTGAGCCTCGCCTAACTATTATAAATAAAAAGGAGGTATATACTATAATATTTCAATTTATTTCCAATTGAATTTAAGAATATTATATTCAATAATATATAAACTTTAAAATAGAAAATCTTTTTGATATTATATATTATTATCATGACAAAACAAATTTATTTTGTTATGTATAATATTAATTATCATAGTACATAAAAATACTTCGCAAAATTCCTATCACTTTTAATATAGTCTGAGTTATTGTTTAAAAAAAAATAACATCTACATTTAGAAATTTGTTCTATTTCAATTTGTATAACTAACCTGTAAAGATTTGAATGCAGTTATATTATTAATATATCTATATGGAATACAGTTATAAAGATGTTTGCAACCTGCAAGACTTAAGTAGCTTAAACGTTCCAGCTTGGACAATGCTCGTATACAATCTGGCAAAACCCAATCGTTGTTTGTCATTATAATTCGCTATACAAGAACAAACAGTTATTATAAAAATGTTGATGTGTAATGAAAATAAATATTTCTAAAATCAATTGGTTTCAAAAATATTTAGTATACAAAAATAAAACAAATTTACCTCTAGATCTGGGCAAGCTTTGCTTATATCGCGTAAATATGAAGAACTGTCTGGAACGTTTTCAATAGTTGTATTATCAATTGTCAGCGTTTTTAATTTTCGAGGCAAAATCTTCACACTTATCTACACACAAAATGTACTTATTAGTAGGTAGTAAATCAATCAAAATACTCGAGATAGAAACTAAAGATGGATTATTCTTACTTCACCAGCATCAAGTACTTGATTTGTTAACGTTAAATGGAGTAATTCTGGGCATTTTGTTGGCAATTGTATTAACAATTTTTCAGAAACTGAATAATCATGGAACATGTTAACATCATAATACGATAAAAAAAATTCAGTGGTATCCTTGTTAAAGTACCTCAAGTATATATCTTCCATAGATTTTTCAAAGTCTTCTAATCTTGGTTTTTCAAATACAGTCCATTCATGATTAGCTCTTAACAAATAAGGGCATATCCTATAAAACCATATTAAAAATTAATTTAAGCTGCTTAACCTAATTTTGAAGTTTGTATACTCACAGTGCCATTTTGGCAATATCATCATGTGATAGATATTTAAATAAATGCATGATAACCTTATCGGGTAAATCTTGGAAACCAACAATTGCCTTTGAGGATTTAGGATGTGTTGTTATTGTTGTGACTTGAGCCGCTTTAGATTTCTTTGGTTCTGTGTGTGGATATTGACATAAATCTTCTAATGGTCTCTTGTTACTGTTCTCCATGTTAAGGGGTGTTCAAAAGCTCTAGACTTTGACAAGAGATAAGTAACCTAAATCAGTTTGGAACGATCATGGCATGAAAAATTATAACATAATAGGTGTATATTATACACAAAAATTATTATATTATCAGTGTTAGTAGTACATGGGACACTTGAGCACACTTTGATTTTATTAATATTTGAATTATAAAAAACATTTTAAAAAAGCATAAAAAACAAAAAAACACAAGAAAAAATAAAAAACCTAAAAAACATCTAAAAATGACATTGAAAAACATAACAAAAATACCGACTTTATATTTTCCTGTTAAAACTTATCTTAACTTTTCCGTTGTGCCCAGAATAAAAATTCTGATTCTCAGCTGTATATTATCAGGTAGGCAATCTATCTGCGGTAGATCGCTGATCCCGTGCTGTTTGTACGTAAGTGTATGATTTAGCCCTAGAGTATCAAAGTTACTTCATTCCACCTACGGTGAATTGATATAATTAATCAATACAAAATCCTAATCTAACCTAACCGTACTAAAATCCGATGAATAAAAAAAAACCAAATTTAACAATTGTTAAATTAATCTATCTTCTTCCCAGAGGTCTAATCTACACACAAACATTATATAACATTATATATCTACGAAAAATAATAATACAAATCAACAAACATGACTGATTAACCAATAGCAACCGATATATAATACACTATTATTATTTTAATCTGCAACAATTAACTACATTTTTTATTATTTAGTTTATTTTTTTCTGGACAGATGGCGCCGCTGTTGTATTTTTGACATCTCTACTTCCTACTTTTCCGGTGAATTTCCCTAAAATATTCTTTCATTATTATTATTACGAATACAACAAAAAGGAATCAGCAAATCGTTTCTGTAGTTATCCCGGTTAGCGTGGTCGCAGAAAACCCCTTACAATTTTATATAGTAGTATAGATAATACATCAACCAATATATTATAATACAATATTATTATTTTAATCTGCAACAATAAATTTTATTTTTCATTTCTTATTAATTAGTTTATTTTTTTATGGACAGATTAGGCCACTGTTGTATTTTTGACATCCATATTTCCTACTTTTCTGGTGGATTTTTCTAAACAAAAGTGGTACTATGACCTCCAGCAGACTGTCAAGTATAACAGTAAAAAATTTCAGCCAAATCGGTTCAGTAGTTTTCTCGGTTAGCGTGGTCCAAGAAAATCCTTACCATTTTATATAATAGTATAGATATTGTATACAATATAACAATATTATAATATTACAAATTACTTACTATTTTATTATAATATATAAATAGAAAGTTCTTGATAAAAAATATATAAATAAAATTATATAGGTATCACATTGTAACCATTCTTTAGCAAGTTCAGGATTTATAAAAATAGTCTCTGATTGATATCTAAACTTATATTATAATGTGCCGAATGCAATACATAAATTTCCTATTTTACTATATTTTGACCACAATAATCCTAGCCAACGTAGTTTTCTAACCTATGTTTCAGATAAATTAAATTCTTTTTTTAAAATAACTTTATTTTTTAAATTTGTTCTTTTATTGTATTAATTACACATATGTTCTATCATAAATTTTTCTAAGAAAAACCCATAAAATATACATAATTTTTTTATGCATTTTTGCTCATCAAAAGAAATTTCTGATATACACCTTTTTAGAAATGTAATCAATTCATTATAAGTAACATCATCTTCTAGACTCGGATGATTAGTAAAAATATTATTATTATTATTATTATTATTAATATCAACTTTTAAAAATTGTTTTAAATAATTACTAAATTCTAAATTCTTATTTCTCTTTTAATAATAATAAAAAAAAATATCTTCTAGAAAATTTGATAGTAATTCAACATCTATTAACTAGAGGACAGTATATATTTAATTTAAAAAAAAATAGATTTTATAGAAATTAGTTAATATTATGTTCTAATAAAACAACTTTTTAAAGAATTACATTTTATACATTTTGCAGACAATCTTTTTAAATTATTTTTACTTATAATTATATGTGAATTAATATTTTCTGTTTTTTGTTTACATTTAACACAATATATATTTCCCATTTATAAGAAATTAAATTAATATAATGTTTAATTATGCTGTATACTTGTAACCGTTAAGTTGTGTCTGCTTTAAATATTTTTCTCTAGGGAAAAAGTTAATAGTTTCTTTAAAATCTGCTTCTTTTAAACATATACCATCCTCGATTATTTTATTAGATTTATACAGCAATATTAATTGATTATAAAATTTATAACAAATTCGGTATTCTATAATTCTTTTATTAAGCTTATAAGATTTTTCAAAAATTTCTATAATTCCGTTTAATAACGAAAACATTGTTAATAAAGGTAATAAAAAATAACCAATTGTACTTAGAAACAGTTTTAAAGCTAGTAAACAAAAACTGATAATATCCGAGCCAATATATTTATAGTTATATATACTACCTAATCCTAAGCTTGATCTTAAATGTTCATCCAATAAATAATAAACATTTGATTTAATTATAATATAGTTATTTGTCTGTAGTATTTTTATATCCGATGGCATTAATTTATTTAATTGATCAATAGAGTAAATTATTCTATTGATACTTGTTGTTTCAAAATTTATGTTTTTAAAACCTAAATATTTTTTTAAGTTTTCATCTAAATTATAGTAACATGGAGATTCTATTTTAATTTTTTATCTATCAAAGAGATAATTAATGGATTTATTAATTTATTTAGTTTTTCAATAGTATAAAGACCACTTTTGATGTCAATTACATTAGTGTTAATTGTTATTTGACAGTAATTTTCTATTTTGATTAAATCATCAGACTTGGTAAAAGACCAAGCATATAACCCAATAGACTTATTTTGGTTTTCATTATGTATTTAATGTTCTAAATGTAAAGACCCATTTATGATTTTGATTAATTTCATTTAATAACGAAAAAATGTTAAGAAGTTAGTCAAATTCTATTAAATAGATTGATTTCCCATTATTAAATTTTTTTTTACCTTTTTAACCTTTTTAATTAATATATATTTTCAGAAATCTATCTGGTAAAAAGAGTTCATATTCATTATCTAACACAACTGATACTTTTATCTGCCAATTAATGTTAATGATTTCAAAAGCAGTAACTTCATATTTTTTGTCCGTTACCAGTTTTGATAATTTAATAAATTTATATTTGTATCCACGTTTATTTAATCTTATTTTTAAATCTATTGAGTCAATTGAATTAGACATTTTAAATTCAGACATTTTTATTTTTATATATACCTATATATTTAATAAGAAAAAATTTTAATAGGATTTTTATTTTTTAGACTTATTATTTATTTATATTTAATGGATAATTATAAAATTACATTATTTCATTTAGATGATAATATATCAGAATCAATATTCCCATTACCTATGAGATGTTTAATTATAGGTTCTTCTGGATCAGGGAAAACTAACTTATTATGTAATATTATTATTAAGGATTGGATTCCTTATAACAATATTTATGTTTTTACAAAGAATATTAAGCAACCAATCTATGAAAAAAATGAAAAAGGTATTTGATGATGTGCATGCTTTGAGGTATATATATCTAATGAAGAGATAGTATCTGTTGATGATTGTAAATCAGATAAATTAGTCGTTTTTGATGATTATATTTTAGATAATCAAAATAGAATAAAAGATTATTTTATAAGATCTAGATCTAAAAATATTTCATGTATTTATATAAGTCAGAATTATAGTTTATTAGATTTAAAAATAATCAGAATAAATTGTTATTTTTTAATTATATTTAAACAGTCAGATTTTTATATTAGGAGAATATGGGAAGATTTTTTGAGTTATGATATGGCTTTTGATAAATTTAAATCTTTATGTTCAATTTGTTGGAAAAATGAGTTTGGATTTATATCAATTAATTTAAGAGCTAAAAAAATCTATAATAAACTCAACAACATAAATCTAGATTAACATAAACTCAAAACGCCAATAAACCTCAACGTATAAACGTCAACGCATAACGTCAACACATAACGTCAACGTTAACGTAAACGTATTCGCAGCTTGCAAAATAGCAAGCAATAAACGTTTATTTAAATAATGGTTATTAAATTTTTTTCATATTAAATGGATATAAAAGATATGAGAAATATTTTTTTAAAAGAAAGGAAAAAAAATATATAGGTGGTTCTGTAACGAAAAAAAGTGGAAATAGGAAAAGATACAATGTCAGTTAAATAAGCAGATACTTCATTGGTTTTCTTAAAATCTTTACATTTTGTACACAAATAAACTTCCTCTGATTTTAAAGATTGTAATAATGTGGCATTATTATATATTATCTTTTCATAAACGTTAATAATTTTGCTATAACGATTCATTGTTTTATATTTATATTTATTTTTATTTATAGAGAAAAAATTTTGATATATTTAATAAAATTATTTTTATACACTATGGCATTTCAGGAAGTATTTTAATATTAAAATAAAAAACAAAAAAGTGCTCTAAATTGGCCATAAAAATTAAGGCAGTTTTTAACTGTTTAAATATTACAATCATTTTATTTGTCTAATTAGTACTATTGGTTTGAAACCAGTCACTTATAATAAAGGTCGAGAAATCTATTAAATAATTAAAATTAATAAAATAATTGAAAATAGTTTAAATTTTTTGTAATTTTTAACAGGAAAATATAAGGTCGGTTTTTTTGTAATGTTTTTTCAATGTCATTTTTAGATTTTTTTTAGGTTTTTTATGTTTCTTGTGATTTTTATGCTTTTTTTATGTTTTTATGCTTTTTTAAATGTTTTTTACAATTCAAATTTTAATAAAATCAAAGTGTGCTCAAGTGCCCCATGTACTACTAATGTTGTATAAAATAATTTTTGACAGTGTTTAAGTAATTACTCAAATACTTTTCAGAAGCATTTGAAATAAACTTCAAATACAAAAAG